CGAAATTTAGGAATTTCTGAAGCCTATTTTAGTTAAATATTTGACACAATAACATTTCTGCCTAATGATTTATTAAACTTTGCCTAATCACCTTCAAAATTAACTGAAAATCAAGCTGTGTTTTTGCAATTGATACTGTATTTCCTTTGGTAACATGCGAAGCATTCATCATTGACTTGAAGGGAGCCGCACGTAGCAAAAGTCATTGCTTACCCTTTCTCACCTTCATATTTGGAATAAGCAGTGTTGTGGTAATAGCTTATGGAAATACCAGTTTAAGGGGAAAGCCTTGTGGAGAGTGTATTATACCAGATTGACATATTCCAGATGCTTCCAAGAGTCAGTCTAAAAACTTCCTAATGGTATGAACTATTTTTTCTCATTTGTGATACGTAAGTCTACTGAGATGAGTGTATTTTCTGTTTTTAATTGCAGTATAGTTCATCACAATGTTGTGTTAGTTTCAGGTGTATAGCACAATGATTCAGTTACATATATATATATATATATTCTTTCTCAGATTCTTTTCCCTTAGAATGTTATGACAAGATATTGAATATAGTTCCCTGTGCTATACAGTAGGTCCTTGTTGGTTATCTGTTTTACATATAGTCGTGTGTATATGTTAATCTAAAACTCTGAGATGTGTGTATTTTCTTAATAAAATTTTGCTATGTATCAAAATATGTTATGATCTTGTTTTTAAAGGCAGCTATAATATATTATCTTGGTATTATCTTTAACCTTAAAACACACGCACTGGTATTAAACCTTAAACGCACTCCAAGATACTTGATCCCCTGGGAATATGCTGTTAGACTGAAGTTCACTGTAGACCTAGTGATTCTCCTCATCTTTTCATTTCCTTCTGTTTATTTCCTTACCCTCTTTCTCTCCTTATTTTGTTTAATCAGAGGAGTAAAGGAATGATTTCTACCTCTTCCCCCACCACGTACACCTTCTCAGACCTTTAGAATACTAAAGCAGAAAGACTGTTGATTCTGTGATTAAGGGAGAAGACGGCATTAGAGCTCATACTTACTGAGTGCTTCTTCAAGCCAGGCGCTGTCCTAAGTACCTGATACTTTTTTACTCATTCAAACGTCACAACAACCTTCTAAAGTGTTGATATTTCCCCCATTTTACAGACAAAGGATCTGAGGGGGTCACATAGCTACTAAAATGCAAAGCTATGATTCAGAGCTCTTGGGACACGTTTGTGACAGAAACTCCAATCCTTCTTAGACTCTCCTCCTCTAAGCACAGCCCGCCCAGCACAACAGGGTGGCAGAACATCACGGTCGTGCTGTCTCACTGAGTCGGAGTCACTAACGTCAAGACACCCTCAATGCTCCTGGCATATCCTGGTCCGGTTCCCTGCTGTCAGATCCCCGATGTTCTCCTGCATCCTAGCTCTCAAGACAGCGTTGCTTCAATCTCACAGAGAAACGGGATGATCAGAAGAAGGTGTCCTCAAGTTTCCCTTCCCCTCATCTCTCCAGGAACCTTGAGAAAGTGAAAAGCAGCAGCTCCCGACTTCCAGGAGCTGACCTGATACTGGAAACTCACCGCCAGGCCACAGCTGAGCTCTCCTGTTGAATGGGATACACTCACACTGACACCCAGAGTTCCCCCTGCGAGCTCTCCCCACGGCAGTGAGTGATGGTTATCTCACAGGACATTGACAAGGCGACTGACCACAATGGATTAAGACAAAAACAAGGTCACTCCAACATCACATCTTGTTCAGTCACTCTGCGGCCCCATGAACTGCAGCACGACAGGCCTCCCTGTCCATCACTAACTCCAGGAGTTACCCAAACTCATGTCCATTGAGTCAGTGATGCCATCCAACCATCTCATCCTCTCCTCTTGCCCTTCTCTTGCCCTTCTCCTGCGTTCAATCTCTCCCAGCATCAGGGTCTTTTCCCATGAGTCAGTTCTTCGCATCAGGTGGCCAAAGTATTGGAGGTCCAGCTTCAGCACCAGTCCTTCCAATGAATATTCAGGACTGATCTCCTTTAGGATTTACTGGTTGGATCTCCTTGCAGTCCAAGGGACTCTCCAGAGTCTTCTCCAACTCCACAGTTCAAAAGTATCAATTCTTCAGCACTCAGCCTTCTTTATGGTCCAACTCTCACAACCACACATGACTATTGGGAAAATCATAGCATTGACAAAACAGACCTTTGTTGGTAAAATGATGTCTCTGCTTTTTAATACACTGTCTAGGTTTGTCATAGCTTGTTTTCCAAGGAGCAAGCATCTTTTAACTTGTGGCTGCAGTCACCATCCACGTTGATTTTGGAGCCCAAGAAAATGAAATCTGACACCATGTAGACCATCATGTCTATACATGGGCAAAACCTGAGTATCATCCAAACCACAGAAATGACCTCCCTCTGCACCCAGAGTGATCCTTTTGTTAAAAACTAATAAACAGGGGCTTCTCTGGTGGTCCAGTGGTTAAGACTTCAAGCTGCCAATTCAGGAGGCCCGGGTCTGAGCCCTGGTCCGGGAACTAGCATGCCACAACTAAGACCTGGCACAGCCAAATAAATAAGTAAGAATAAATATATATTTTAAAAAAACACATTGAGGTATCACTTAATACCTTTTAGAATTTGTTGTTCAGTCACTAAGTCATATCCAACTCTTTGTAACCCCACAGACTGCAGCATGCCAGGCGCTGCTGTCCTCTTATCTCCCAGAGTTTGCTCAAATTCAAGTCCATTGAGTTGGTGATGCTATCTAACCATCTCATCCTCTGCTGCCCTCTTCCTCTTTTGTCTTCAATCTTTCCCAGCATCAGGGCCTTTTCCAATGAGTCAGCTCTTTTCATCAGGTGGCCGAAGTATTGGAGCTTCAGCTTCAGTATGAATATTCAGGGTTGATTTCCTTTAGGATGGACTGGTTTGATGTCCTTGCAGTCCAAGGAACTCTTAAGAGTCTTCTCCAGCACCACAATTCAAAAGCATCAATTCTTCAGTGCTCAGCCTTCTTTATGGTCCAACACTTTTTCAACGGCCATTTTTCACCTTTCAGAACAGTTATCAAAAAAGTCTCAAACAACAAATGTTAGCAACAGTGTAGAGAAAAAGGAACCCTTCTACACTGTTGGTGGGAATGTAAATTAGTGCAGCCACTGTGGAAAACACTGAGAAATGTGGTGAGAAAACAGTTTTCTCAAAAAACAAAGAAAGAACTACCATACGATGCAGAAATTCCACTCCTGGTATTCATCCACAGAAAAGTAAAATATTAATTCAAAAGATACATGTATTCCTTGAATTAAAAAATAAATTTTAAAAAAGACACATGTACTTGTGTTCACAGTAGTATTGAGAAATCTCCATATTGCTTTCCACAGTGGCTGCATCAGTTTACAATTGCCAAGATATGTAAGCAACCTACATGTCCATCAACAGATGAACATACAGAGAAGATGCAGTATATATATGATGGAATATTTGTTGTTTAGTGTCTGACTCTTGTGATCGATCCCATGGACTGCAGCCTGCCAGGCTCTTGTGTCCATAGGACTTCCCAGGTAAGTATACTGGAATGGGTTGTGATTTCCTTCTCCAAGAGATCTTCCTGATGCCGGGGTCAAACCTGCATCTCCTGTATTGGCGAGCGGATTCTTTACCACTGAGCTACTAGGGAAGTCCCACTCAACCATAAAAAGAGATGAAATTTTGTGTTTGCAACATGGATGGACTTGGAGGGCATCATGCTAAGTGAAAATATCAGAAAAGACACAATGTATGATGTCACATGTTGAATGTAAAAAATAAAATAGTGAATATGACAAGGAAGAAACAGAACTCACATATATAGAAAACTATTAGGTACCATTAGAGAGAGGGAATGGGGAAGGAGCAAGACAGGGTTAACAGATTAAGATAACTATGTATAAAATAAGTTACAAGGATATATTGTATAACACAGGGAACAAAGCCAGTATTTTATAATAACTAAATGGTTAATTAAGGGCTAGGTTACATTTGGAGGGACAGGGTTCTAGGTGAAAAAAACTGAACATAATAACTATTGAATGATGATTCTATATAGACGTTCATTAAACATTTTCTCAATTTTTGTGTATGTAAAAAATTTCCCATAAAGGTTTTAAAATGAACATAAAGCACTATCCAGAATTCTCTAAAGCTATAATAACCTCTGAGAAAAGGGGTTGTAAGAAATCTCGATTGGGGTGGGCATAGGGGATGGTAGGTTTAAGCCAGGAACCTCTGGAATGGGCAGGTCTGTTGGGGGTACCTCTGCAGGGAACCCCTAGTCGAGGTGTGGTCAAGGCCTGGCTGTAGGATGTGTCTTCCTGAGCACTTCTCTGCTAGGAAAGTGTCAGAATAAATAACACTCAAGGCCCGGTTTTAAAAATGTTGTTAAACCAGTCCGTGTACAAACAAATCCATCTTATTTCCTTATTTTTCCATTTCCAGGAGATTAATCCAAGTCTCAACCTCTCCACAAGACCCAGCTCAAGTTTAACCACTCCTACAACTTACCCCCCCTTTTTTTTTGCAAGGCAGTGGGATCTTAGTTCCCTGACCAGGGATTGAACCCACCCCTGGCAGTGAAAGTGCAGGGTTTTAATCACTGGACTCCAGAGAATTCCCTAACCCTTCCTTAATTTAATGATCTCCCTATTTTTGTCACTCCCTTTGGTTTCTCCTCTGCTCCCTCATTTTGTTAGTGACTTTCTGCTAGTTCTTTTTCCAACCTTGGTTTATGCTCCTAAAACCAGGAACCATGACATATATTAAAAATTCATTATCAAAGTCGGATTGTCTCTCTACTAAGGCGGATCTTAATTAACACTTGCATAAATAAAAGCTTTGAAGAGGCCCAAAAGTAAATGATCCCTCTCTCCAGGTAGTGTTAAAAACCCTCCATCCACAGCACTTCTAACCCTGTTAGGAAGCTGCTGGATGCTTTGACCACCTCGAGCATGTGAGCAAAAATCAGTGCATCTGACACTACACAAGAGCGTGAAGTTTTGAAAGCTGGAGTTTGACCGGGATGAGTTTTTCCACTTGGGCCACGTGCAGTTTCCTCCGGGGCTCCTCACCCAGTGCGTCCCTGAGGCGATGCTGTGCGCTCCGCTCAGCAAGTGGACACATCAGCGACGCTCCTGCAGGCACAGCACCCGCAGCTGCGGATTTTTCAGCAGACATTCCGCTGTATATCTGGAAGAGCAAAGTGCAATCGAAAGAAGACTTGGGATCTAGAGTATGGCTGCTATGAACTCTGATTCCAAGGCACTGCACGCTTCAGTTTTCAGTGCTTAAGACAGATTCATCCCCGTGAGATCACAGGCTTTACGCAGATATGCCAGAGCAAAGCATCTCGGAGAACACTCTTGTTTGAAAACGTTCAGTTCAGTTCAGTCGCTCAGTCGTATCCGACTCTGCGACCCCACAGACTGCAGCACACCAGGCCTCCTTGTCCATCACCAACTCCCAGAGTTTACTCAAACTCATTTCCATTGAGTCAGTGATGCCATCCAACCACCTCATCCTCTGTCGTCCCCTTCTCCTCCCGCCCTCAATCTTTCCCAGTATCAGGGTCTTTTCAAATGAGTCAGTTCTTCACATCAGACGGCGAAAGTGTTGGAGTTTCAGCTTCAACATCAGTCCTTCCAATGAACACTCAGGACTGATCTTTAGGAGGGACTGGTTGGATCTCCTTGCTGTCCTAGGGACTTTCAAAAGTCTTCTCCAACACCACAGTTCAAAAGCATCAACGTTACACGGCCAAAAAAAAAAGGAAAAGAAAAGAAAAAAAAAAAGCCATAGAGTAGGGACTTCTCTGGCGGTCCAAGTGGTTAAGACATTGGGCTTCAAGAGCAAGGGGTGAGAGTCTGATTGCTGGTTGCAGAGCTAAGATACCACATGCCTCAAGCAGTGGCAAAAAAAAAAAAAAAAAAGCAACCCACACAGCGGACATTTTTCACTTGGGCGCTCTGGTCCTCACGGGATACCGCAGCCCTCACAGGGGCCTCCCACTCGCCGCGGGACAGAGCGGACCGCTGGACCGGCCGCCCAGCCTCACGCCGGGGTCGCGCTCCGCGGAGAACCACCGAGCGCGGACCTCCGGCGCCTCCTAGAGCGGCGGGGCGCGGGCTCGGCCGGCGGCGCACTTCCGCCCGCGCGCGTCGCCGCCCCGCGGACGGCCGGGCCTCGCCGCGGGCGTCGGGGAGTGGGTGAGTGGGGCAGGGCGCGCCCGAGGTGGGGAGCGGGCCGGGGTCTGCGCCGCCGAGGCCTCCCCCGCGCCCGCCAAACCGGTCGAGCGCTCGGGCGTCCCGCGGAGTCGCGGGCTGTGCCGGGAGCCTAGGACCCGAGCCGGGGATCTAGGACGCGCCTTGTCCACCCACCGCCCCTCATCGCGCTTGCTTACCCCTACCCTGCGGGCCGAGGACCTCCTACACCGCGCTTCTGCCGCCTCCCACGCTCCTTTTGCTCGACAGGCGTGAAGGAGCGGCTGGGCCGGCCGGCGGTCGGAGACCCGGCCTCTGGCCACGGGGGGCTAGGCCTTGGCCTCGCAAAGACCACTGTCTGTGCAGCGGGCCTCGGCCCTTTCATCTCTGAAATGGAGGATGGCAGGACCTGCCCTGCCTGCACCGCTTGCGTGGATTGCAGGCTTGGCACCGCCTCTGCCTGAAAACTCCTTCCGAGCCCGACCGCCTTTAGAATCTTCCGGGGAGCTTTCCCAGTACTGAGAACCCCAGAACCACCGGGCGATTGTAGTCTGCAGCCAGGACTGAGAACCACTGGCCCAGAGTGTCAAGTGACCCTACTGAGATCGATCGTGTGTTGTGTTCTTGCTAGAAATGTGTATTGTGAGAAAGCAAGCGGCTGGGTTTTTGTTTTTTGGGGTGTTTTTTTTTTTTTGGTCCAAGAAGACAAGAGCTAAAATCTGGTTTGCTCACATTTCCTAGTGGTGCATAACGCGCACCAATGATTAAATTTCTGGTTACTTCCTGACCTAGTGGAAGAGTTTTGGTTATTTGGCTTGCTTTTAAACTTTTTATATGGAAACTTTTAAATATATACAAAAACAGAATCGTGTACAGAATGTACCAACTCATGTACTAATTGCTAATGGATCTAGTTTCATCTGGCACCCTCACCCCCACTGGATTATCTTAAAGCAAATCAAAACGTACCATTTCATCCATTTAATACTGGCTTATGTTTATAGAACATAGTAACTACTTGAACATAACACCATTATCAGTCTCATAAGAACCTCACATTACTATCTCTCCAGTGAAGTTTGCATTTCCCCTATTCTCTCTCCCCCCACCCCCCGCCATCATCTGGTTGTCCAAAACAGGATTCAGACAAGCTACACAGGTTACATTTGGTTGATGGCTCTTATCTCTGTCTCCTCTCTCTTCATTATTATTTTTCCTGGTATTTAGGTTGTTGAAGAAGTCAAGTCATTTGTCCTGTAATGTTTCTTACATACTGAATTTTGCTTTTTCCTTCCCTGTGGTGTGCTCTAATAAACTGGTGTTTAGAAGACAGCCTTTTCCAGATACAGGTTATATTATTTGGCAAGAAAACCTCCTTGGTTACTATGTGCTTCATATTGCATCACATCAGGAGTTGGATTAGGTCTCATCTCTGTGGTGGTAACATTGATCACTGGCTCTTTTCCATACAAATTGTATTGCAGGGTGACTGATCAGGGAATTACAGAAGGATACTAATAACTGCAGAAGGAATGAGAGAATATCACCTTATGGCAACCCCTAATGAAATAATGGTTCCTGGAAAGGATCATTAATGGTTGCTAACATCAGAAAAAGAGACAGCCAGACAGCGTGTGCTTCCTGGTGGAACTTCCCAATACCACCTGTTACATATTCTTAGATGATGGATGGGGGATAAAGAGGAAACAGGATTGACCTTGAGTTGATAATTGTTGAAGCTCAGTGATGGGTATGTGACAGTACATTATGCTAATCTCTCTCCTTTTGTGTGTGTTTGAAATTTTTCATTAAAAAAATTTTGGTGTTTTGTTTTTTTTTAATTGACTTGTTGACTAGTGAGTTCAGGTCAGCCTGATCCATCCATTATAGTTCTCCACTAGCCTTTCACTAACTGGTTCTCAAAACTGACTGCATGTTAGGATCACAGGGGGAGAATTTTTCTTTTTCAATTCTAAAACACATGTCTCTTGCGGAATTTCCTGTTGATAGTTCTGGGATGGAGCCCAAAATGGTTGATATGTTTTAAAAGATCTCCAGGTGATTAGTACTCCAGGATTCTATACCACTGGAAGTCATGAAGTAAATTAAATGCAAAATTAAGTCAAATAGGTAAATAAAATGCTGCTTATTGCAGCAAAAAACAATTCAGAGATTTTTTTAAAAAGTTAATGTCCACCACCATTATTTTAATCATCACCGAAATAACCAGTGTAGCAGTACAATGTATATTGTTCCTCACCAGACTATCTCTGTCTTGCATAACATAGATGTTTGGGCATTGTTATAAAAATGAGATTATGCCATAGCCATCTGTAACTTTTCTCATTGTCATCCCTTCAGTACAGGAGTCACAGACCTGGCTAAACTGTAGAACAGATAGTTCATGATATGAATGTACAATAAAGCAGTTGTTTCCAAATTGATATTTATCTGTCGATCTGTATATTCAGATAGTTTCCAAATTTTAGCCACCTTAAAATTTCACAGTAAATATCATTGTACATAGATCCTTTATTTCTGTAAGGCAGATTCCCAAAAATGGGATTGCTGGTTACAGTACGTTGCATTAGTAGCCTCATTATTATTGGTAATATGTATTGCCAGATTACTGTCCCAAAACATAATGGCAGTTCATGCTTCCACCACTGGCAAAATGTAGGTACTCATTTTTCCTTGTCTGGGTTAGCACTGGATAGCATTAATATTTGTCAGCCGATGTGTGGAAAATGATGGCTCTTTTTTCTTTAATTTGCATTTCCTCTCTACTGGAGGGACTGAGGGTTTTCATGCTTATTGGCCCTTTGGATTTCTTTTGTGAATTTCCTGTGTATATTCATTGTTTAGTTTTCTATTCTGTACTTTTCTGTTTTAATGTGTTTGCTTGAACCATTTCTTAGGGGCATTAACCTGTTATCAAACAGTACAGTTTTTTCCAAATGGTTTTTTTCTTTTTGGCGGGGGGAGGTCCTTTGACATTGAGAGTCTTTTGATATATGAAAATTTTTATGTAGTAAAAATGTCTTTTTAAAAGCTTTGTATTTCATGTCTTGCCAGTAAGGGATTTTCATCCCCAAATTTGTATACATATTCTAATTTTTTTGAACACTTTTTTTTGGACCTGAAAGGTCCAAATTTAAATGTTTCACATTTAAATCATGTGGAATGTATTTTTATATATGATGCAAGATAAGAATCTTGCTTCACTTTTTCTGCGAAAATAACCAATTATGTCAGTGTTATTCATTTTAAAAAGCCACCCTTTTTTACATTTCTGTTATATATTGATTTCTGTGTGTACCTGAGTTTATTTCTGGACTATCCCTTCTCTTACTTCCAACTTTATGTTTGTACCAGTAATATATCTTTCTTTTGTGCCTGATTAGTGTCATGTTACTACCTAGAAAAGTAAATCACTACTCACTACTTTGTAGGCTTTTCTTGCCCATTCTCAGACTTGTGCTTTTTTTTTTTCATGTGATTTTTGGGTTACATTTGTTCAAAGATGAATCGCACTGGAAATCTGATAGAATTTGCGTTAAATATACATGCATTAATTATGAAAAGATACGCATTTCTGTGATAGTAAATCTCCTATCAAAGAAGCTAATGTGTTTCTCTCTTTGAGTCTTTTAGGACCTGTTCCTTTCTTGTTAACTTTATTTCTATCTATTTTACAAGACTTCTTTTTTCTCTTGTGACTGAGGGTTTTTTTCATTTTTGCAAGGACTGAGAAAAGTTTCTGATAGGTTTTCCCCCCCTGTAGATAGTACATTTATCCAGCTCTCTGTCAAGTTTTCCTGTTTTAGTAGTTTTTCTTAAACTTACATGTTTGTTTCCTTCCTTGCCATCAATGTGGATAATCTGTAATTGGTTATATATAACTTTGGCAAAAAGATGGGGAAACAGTAGATTTGGGGCTCCAAATCACTACAGATGGTGACTGCAGCCATGAAATTAAAATATGCTTACTTTGGAAGAAAAGTTATGACCAACCTAGACAGCATATTAAAAAGCAGACACATTACTTTGCCAACAAAGGTCTGTCTAGTCAAGGCAATGTTTTTTTCAGTAGTCATGTATGGATGTGAGAGTTGGACTACAAAAAAAGCTGAGCGCTGAAGAATTGATGTTTTTGAACTGTGGTGTTGGAGAAGACTTGAGAGTCCCTTGGACTGCAAGGAGATCCAACCAGTCCATCCTAAAGGAGATCAGTCATGAGTGTTCATTGGAAGGACTTATGTTGAAGCTGAAACTGCAATACTTTGTCCACCTGATATGAAGAACCGACTCGTTGGAAAAGACCATGATGCTGGGAAAGATTGAAGGCGGGAGAAGGGGATGACAAAGGATGAGATGGTTGGATGGCATCACCGACGCGATGGACATGAATTTGAGTAAATTGCGGGAGTTGATTTACAGAGAGGCCTGGCGTGCTGTGGTCCATGGGGTTGTGAACAGTTGGACATGACTGAGCGATTGAACTGAACTGAAGTTTGAGTTTATTTTATTTGATGCATATCTCCCATCACAGAACTGTATCAGAGGGGTTTCCCTGGTGGTCCAGTAGTTAGGAATCTGTGTTGCAGTGCAGGCGACACCACAGTGAGAAGCCAGCACACTAAACAAGAGTGGCCCCCTCTTGCTGCAACTAGAGAGAGCCTGAGTGCAGCAGTGAAGACCTACTGCAGCCAAACAATAGATCAATAAATAAATCTTTAAAAAAAGGAACTGTATCAGAGAGATATGCCCAAAAATAGTGAAAGGAAAAAGAGATATCAGGAGTTGGCAGAAATCTACACACTCAACAGGTTGTTGCTGATCACTTGTAAGAGCAGAGGCCCAAGTGCTAACCCCTCATGGACCCTCTAATCAGGGGAGTGAGACATTCCCTCAGCATTACTGTGTATTATTCGCATTACTGAGTATTGTAGTGCTTCATTGTGGTTTCCCAATGGTTCAGAGAAAGGGCTGCTCACCATGAGCTGCTCAGCATAGAGAGATCACTTGGTGAGCATAATTAAGTTCCCTTGCTTGCCCAGAACCTCACTAGAGTTGTTTACTGTTTATTAGAAGGACTTTTTAAAAAATTAATCAGCAGATAGTACAGAGTCCTTATATACCCACTCCCCACCCCACCCCACCCCCATCAGTTTCCCCTAATGTTGACATCTTACATTAGTGTGGTACAACGGTGATGGGCCAGTATTGATACACAGTTTACATTAGGGCTCCTTCACTGTTTTGTATTTACTATGGGTTTTGACCAACGTGTGGTGATATGTGTCTGTCTTTATTGTATCATACAGCATAGTTTTACTGCCCTGAAATCCCTCACTCCCTTCCCCCGCGAACCACTGTCTTTTTACTATCCCCATAGTTTTGCCTTTTCCAGAATGTCATGTGGTTGGAATTCAAGTACAGTTTGGTGTATATATATATATATAATTTTTTTATTAATTTTATTTTTGGTTGCACTGGGCCTCCGTTGCTGCGCAGGCTTTTCTCTAGTTGAGGCGAGCGGGTTGTCGCTGTGCGCAAGCTTCTCGTTGCGATGTCTTCTCTTTTTTCCGTTCCCAGGCCCTGGAACGCAGCCTCAGTAGTTGTGGCACACAAGCTTAGTTGCTCCACAGCACGTGGGATCTTCCCAGACTGGGGACTGAACCTGCCTCTCCTGCATTGGCAAGTGGATTCTTTACTCCTGAGCCGCCAGGGAGGGCTTCCCAGTGGCTCGGACGGTAAAGGGTCCGCCTCGATGCAGGGGACCCGGGTTCCCTCCCTGGGTGGGGAAGATCCCCTGGAGGAGGAAATGGCAACCCACTCCAGTGTTCTTGCCTGGAGAACCCCATGGACAGAGGAGTCTGGAGGGCTACAGTCCATGGGGTCACAAAGAGTTGAACCCAACTGCGTGACTAACACTTTCAGTTTCACCAGGGAAGCCCTCAACTCTAGTTTTTAATTAACTGAGTTTGGCTTTTTTTTTTTTAATTTATTTTTATTTGTGTGAGCAGTCGTACAAGGTTTGGTAATTTGTAGTTTTAACTGACTAAGAGTTACTAGAATCTTCCTTTAGATTTCTGTGGAAAACTATTAGAGAACAGGAATCCACACTGTTCTAAATACATAGAAATTAGATAACAGTGAAACTCCCAAGAACCTGTTTTTGGTGATTTTAAGCAGTGATGTGTGATAACCCCTAAGTGATCTTCTCATTGCAGGGTGGAAGATGTCTATGGACGTGACATTTCTGGGGACAGGTGCAGCATACCCGTCCCCAACCCGGGGTGCCTCTGCGCTGGTTCTTCGGTGTGAAGGCGAGTGCTGGCTCTTTGACTGTGGGGAGGGAACCCAGACACAGCTTATGAAGAGCCAACTTAAAGCGGGTGAGTGTGTGTTCTGCTTTCTCATTAGGGCTGTCTCTTGCTCATCTTCATTTTCCTGGCTCTCCTTGGGCCTTCTGCTCAGAAGCAACCCCGGCAGTTGTACCCCATTTCAGTGCTGGAGCCCTGGCAAGACTTGAAAGGCTCTCGGGCATCTGGCCACACCAAGATGCCTAGATGAACTAGCTGACTGACTACCCAACTTACTTCCTCCTTCTCCTTCCCTCCCTTCAGTCCTTCACTTTTCATTCTTCCTGTAAATTGAAGAGCAAAGATGTACATAGGCTTAGGGCATGGAGGATGGAGTGAGATACATCAGACACATTAAAAAGACACTGCTGAACCACGGGAACATACTTACTTCTCCCAGGAGATGGGTCTAAGTATCATGAGAGGGCAGTAGGTGTTCTGGGGAGTGAGTTCTTTTCTGCTTGGGGTCATCAGCAAAGACAGCTGAGAGGGGGTGATATGTGAGTTGTTGAGGGAGGAGGAAGGGCTCCCTGGGCTGGGGAGAAGAAGGGCATTCTGGCCAGAGGGAACAGAGAGAGCCTCGCCCCAGGCCCACTGAGGAGTCCAGTGTTCACAGAGCCTTGACCCAGAGTGGGGTAGATCAGGATTCCAGTCCCAGCTGTGTCTCTGCTTAGCACCTTAGCAGATCAGCAAGCTTAAGCCTTTCTTTTCTCATCTTTAAAATGGGGTTAAAACCTCCATATCAGGGCTTCCCTGGTGGCTCAGCTGGTAAAGAATCCGCCTGCAATGCAGGAGACCTGAGTTCAATCCCTGGGTTGGGAAGATCCCCTGGAGAAGGGAAAGGCTGCCCACTCCAGTATTCTGGCCTAGAGAATTCCATAGACCATATAGTCCGTGGGGTCGCAAACAGTTGGCACGACTGAGTGACTCACTTCACTTAAAACCTGCACTTGAAAGGGGTGATGTGAGAATTGTATATAATAATCCCTTCTCTGTGTGGTTGTCTCCTTCTCATCAGTTAAATCTCAACTCACATGTTGTCTCCTCAAAGGCTTTCCCCAAACCTCTTGTGTTAAGTAATTTCTCCCTTACGCCAGGCATCCTACTGATTTATGCTGGTTTTATTGACTTTTTAGCATCATCAGTATCTAAAATTATGTTATTTAGGTAGTCGTTTCTGTGTTCACTGTGTAGTTCCCTGGATGACTAGACTCTGAGCATATGCACACCTAGTAGATGCCTAGTAATACCTGTTGATGCTTGAGTCAGATGTTCAGCACTTAGTACAGGGCCTCTCACTTGTTAGATCTTGATAAATGGCACTTATTGAAATTATTCCTACAACTCCTCACAGTACTTGGCATTTAATGACTAAAAGAAAGATAGCTCTAGCATCCAAGCATCCCTTGGTCTGGTGGTGGAAACTGACGTGCAGTCATGGTGTAATGTGATAAGTAAGAGTAAAGAGGTGTTTTCTAGCTACTTTTGAAGCACAAAGGAGGAGGACACTAACTGTATCTGTGTGTTCAGAGAGAGCAACTCAGAGATAGTAATGGTCGAGCAAGGATATAAGAGATGAATAGAAGTTTCTCTGGGAGGAGAAGCAGGGATGGATATTCAGGGAACAGATGATAGAGTGAGCAGGAAGTAAGGGAGTTTCCAGGAGAGACATGACGTGTTTGGGGAATCCTAAGCCGTCCAGCACTCTGAGTACTTGACTGTAGAGATGAGAGACAGGAATGCTGAAAGCGAGGGCCGACTGTGAAGACTTCTGTGGTATTCTAAGGCATCCGGGCCTTATTATTTATCCTATTGTCAACAAGGAATCATTGAATACATTTTAAACCAAGAAATGACATGGTCTGATTTGTGTTTTAGGATGGTTTTCCAATAGCAAATGTACTGGGAGAGAGAGTGGCATCAGGAGGCCCAGCCCAAGGCAGTTGCATTCACCTGGTGAGAGAGAGAAGATGAAGATTCTGGAGCAGGAAGCAGGAATGAGGATGAAGACGAGAGACTCAGAGAAATCTGTAGAGCCAGGAGACGGGACTGAGTGAATGCCTAGGATATGCAGAAGTGCAGAATTACTCCAAGTTATAGGTGGTGATGTCCCAGACCTAGATCGAGAGTTAGATAGAGAGTTAGGAAGAGAACTGTTGGAGGAAGGAACCAGGCATATCACTTGGGACAGGTGTACACAGTTCAGCCCTAATTTATACTGTCTTACGTTGAAACCCTGTGGTCACAGCAGTGCTATGCTTTACTTCCTGGGATCACACAAGGGTTCCTTTCACGAGGCCTGGCAGGGTAGGCACATGCCAGAACAGTGGCTATAATATTTAGAGAGTAGGGGTTGAGGTGGCAGGGTGATTAAAATAGAAACAAGTGACTCTTGTATTAAGAAGTTTGGATGTAGGGATGTCTCCAGTTTTTACTTAGTACCTGTGTCAGTTATCTAATGCTGCTTAACAGATTAAAAATTTAGTGGGGTACTTGCATTTATTATCTCATAGTTTCTGTGGGTTAGGGACTTCAGGCCAGGCTTAGCTGGATTCTCTATTTCAGGGTCTCAGTAGGCTGCAGCCCAGGTCTTGGCCAGTGCTGAGGTCTCATCAGAGACCCCACTAGAGGAAGAATCGATTTCAGAGCTCACTCAGGTTGTTGGCAGAATCCTTCTGGTTGTTGAACGAAGGCTGCCTGCAGAAACTTGAGGCCTGCTATAGGTCCTGGTCGTGGGGGTTTCTGCTGCAGGGTAGCTTGCTTCCTTTTACTGCCAGGAAGGGAGAAAGAGACTTAAGAGCAAGTCTGCCAGCAAGATGGACTCTGAGAACATAATCACATTGCATCCTTGTGCCATGTTTCACTGGTTAGAAGCCAAGTGCCCAGTCCCACCCACACTTAAGGGGAAGGAATTATAGAGGGATGTGGACAGCTGGAGGCAGGGACCATGGGTACCACCTTAACTCTATTTGCCATAATACCTTTCTCTCATGTTTTATATTTTACAGTTATTTTTCAACAGATCACAAAGCTCAAGCTTTTTAAAATAAAAGTTTGGCCAAAAAATAATAATACTAAAATAAAATCTAAAGGGAACCTTTAGCTTACTGAATTTTTATTGATTTAAAAAAAGAATTCGGAATACATGTAAATCTATGGATAATTCATGTCAATGTATGACAAAAACCACTACAATATTGTAAAGTAATTAGCCTCCAACTAATAAAAATAAATGAAGAAAAAAAAAAGGATTCCTGACCTGAGAGAGGAGGGTGATATGGTAATCCCTGAACATCAGCTAAGACACTCTGACACTTCTAAAGCCCCAATCTCAACCTGGAATCCTCAATACATCTTGGTTTCTCTGAGTAACCAAATGTGGACCCATCACTGTTGGAGTCTTTGAAACCCTTTTAGCTTATACTACCTCCTGGGGTAATAATATTTTATGGGTTTCATAAGGAAGTACTTTCTGTCTGTCTAAATATACTTCTTTCAACTTTCCATGGTCCTGATATCCAGGCATCTGATTAAAAAGTATGGGTTTGTCATATCTATTTTTTTTCATAATTTTAAAGAGTGAGCTTAAGCTTTTTTCCCCCCTCAAAAATGATTACAAAAAAGTATTATAAAAGTATAATTTTAAAAAGATTATAATAAGTATACATGCTCATTGTAAAAGTTTAAACAAAGCAGAAAAATATAAATAAGAAAATCCCAAATCTCTCTGGTCAGTGAATTTTCTATACATATAGTTATGGTAATGGTACAGGTATATTTGTGTGTGTGTTTGTATATAATTTTGCATAAGTGCAATCAAACTATATTTGGTATGACTTTTTCTTCCCAACTGAATAGTATGTATCAATAACGTATTGCAGATATTTTCCTACAGCAGTAAAGATCAGTGCATCATTCCTTTGGGTGTAGAGGATGCTTAGTCTTCTACTCCTATAGTCTTCTACTCCTATATGGATGACATTTTCCCTGGTAATTTTCGTGTTCTTAAGTGAAAGAGAACTCATGCATTTTTCTTTTTTCATTTGATAGCTTCCTCTTACCTTTGATAATTGTGGTTGCCGTTCCTTCTGCTGAAATCAAGTTTCTTAAAAAATGAAATGTTTGTCTTCCATGAAACTGTAATAACTGTGGAAAGTTACTTTTTCTTACCTAATGTGTCTCACTTGCTTTGAGTTCACTGATTGTTTGGTATTCAGATTTGGCTGTGCTTTGCAGTAAATAGGGAGAGGCCCGGAAAGTCTGACTTGGCAGTTTTGAGGTCAGTGTGAGACCAGGACTCAGCAACTGATGTAGTTCTCTTGTCTGCTGAGTTCTTAGGTCCCACTTGGGAGGGTGGGGGGCTGTTGGCAGCCCAGACAGCAGAAAGGGGGAAATGAAAGTGTTCCAGAGGTCAAAAAACAGCAAAAACAAAGACTAAACCAAGACAACAAAAAGGAGCATGTTGGGGAGACTTCTAGCGTGCCTCCTGGGGATTCTCATGGTTCAAGATCATTGTTGAGATGATCCATTGTTCTGCCTGGTCCATTGTTCTCTGCTACAGTGCCTGGCTTGATGTAGTAACACTGAGAAGACTCGCTTGGAGCACACCGTTACCTGGATGTCACAGGACAGATCCCATCACAATAAACTATTCCTGTTCTTTTATGGTACCAAGTGTTTGAAATAGGTGGGCCGTGAGCTCGGACTGGAAGCAACTGTTATATTAAAAATATGTTAATTGTGATTGTTACTTTCAAAAGCCTTTATGGTGCATTTCTGAAAAACGTTGATGTGGCATCCTGCCACGTACCAGGAGTAAATTCTGTTTGTTGTTCAGTCGCTCAGGCATATCTGACTTTTTTCGACCCCATGGACTGCAGCCCGCTGGGTTTCAGTCCACGGGATTCTCCAGGCAAGAATACCAGAGTGGGTCGCCATGCCCTTCCTCAGGGGATATTCCCAACCTAGGAATCGAGCCTGCATCTCCTGTTTTGGCAGGCAGATTATTTTTACCACTGAGCCACCAGGAAAACCCATACAGTTTACCATTGGCTAAATCAGGTTACAGCCTAAGTCAGTATGCACTGGAAGAGCTGCTGTATTAGTTCAGACCGAAAGGGAGGGATGGACCCACGTGCCCTTACATAACACCATGGGGTGTTTACCCTCAGATATGCACTCCAGCATCTATTGCCTGCCTCCTCCTCCCTGGTCCTTCGCCTCACTCCGTTTCTCCCGACCTCCTTCTCCCTCCTCCCTGTCCTCCCCTCCCTCATCCCCCTTGCTTCTTCCTCCTTTTCCTTCTGTCTCATCCAGGCAAGCAGGCTCTGGCTTGGTTAGTCAGTCTTTGGCCAGTGTGGAGTCCTTAAAAGGCGATTTTGGTTTCAGGCACTGGTCCAGTCCTTTGGAGCCAAAGGAACGTTTGTTAGCATGCTGGGAGTACATACTTGCTGTTCTCAGAGGGAGCAGCAGGGGGCAGTGTAACTGCCAGATACTTTCACACTTGAGGCCTAGCTGATTACTAAGTGAATCATTTTGGTACACGTTTTTCTTTTCTCTTTTTTCCAGTAAGAGGATGTATAGGAAAATACTCTTAAAACTGTAACACTGTATAATTTGAAGATATTTTATGAAAAAAGTTATATCTTATTAAAACCTTCCAGTGAAATAATACTTGTCTCTCTTGCTTCTGGAATCATGTAGAAAAATACACGCATGTTTCAAGTAGCTTTGTATGGGTTTTATTTCTGAAAATTCACAAATTTATTTCTCTGCTTCAATCAAAAGGGAGAATTACCAAGATCTTTATCACACATCTTCATGGAGACCATTTCTTTGGCCTTCCTGGCCTCCTCTGCACAATCAGCCTGCAGAGTGGGTCCACGGTCACCAAACAGCCCATCGAAATCTACGGCCCTGTGGGGCTTCGGGACTTTATCTGGCGAACCATGGAACTCTCTCACACGGAGTTGGTCTTCCCTTACGTGGTCCACGAGCTGGTGCCTACAGCGAATCAGTGTCCTACAGAAGAACTAAAAGAATCTGTGCAGGTGAATGAAACAGAAAGCCCTCCCAAAGAGGGACAAGGACGAACTATCCTGTTAGACTCAGAAGAAAACTCGTACCTCCTGGTTGATGATGAACAGTTTGTTGTGAAAGCGTTTCGCCTCTTTCATCGAATACCCTCCTTTGGATTTTCAGTCGTGGAGAAGAAACGCCCAGGTAAACTCAACGCACAGAAACTTAAAGACCTGGGTGAGTGAGTGTTTGTTTTTTCCTTTCTCCTCAGTTGAGTTGTTGTGAACTGCAGCTGTTAGAAGTGTCATAGAAACCTTCCTTTCTTGCTTCCCAGGCCTAAGACCTACATTTTCTCCACTTACTTCCTTTTCCCGAAGTTTGTTTATTAAGAGAAATCTTTAGGGCTAGAAGAAGCGATTCAGAGCCAAAGTGAAGTATATATTTCCAAGTCTCTCTTCAGCTTTGTAGAGGCACATTCTTGATCTGTCTTATCGTCAGCTTTTACTATCTTGGTTGGTGGAATGAGGGTGGTTGTCTCAGGTCTAGGCTTTTATTTTTCTCATGTCATCTTTTTGAAATATGTTTGAGTGGCATCTTTGGTCAGATACTTTTCACCATAGTTCTTAACCATGCCACTGCAACCAGCTGCTTTCTGAGTGTTCCTTCTTTATTGACTAAGTTATTAATAATTTGGTGTTTGGAACACTGCCTCAACAAGTTGTTGTTGTTGTTGTTTTTGACTGTGCTGGGTCTTAGCTGTAGAACATGGGGTCTGGTTTCCTGGGGAACGAGTGCAGGCCTCCTGCATTCGGAGCATGGAGCCTCAGCCACTGAACCACCAGGGAAGTCCCTCGACCAGCTTTATATACCGGGTTCATCCCACTGGAAGCAAGCATTCAAAGGTTGGCTTGGGGCCCGTCTGAGGCCTCACACCTTCCCTGTGCTCAGTCATCACATGCTCAGGTCCTGCAGCACCTCTGCCAAAGCAGTGCCAGGTGCATCATCCCTCTAGCATCACCACCTTCCTTGCTGTGCTGATGACAGAGCCTGTGAAAAGCATGGCAGTGGCTTTTCATGTGTTCTTTTTCTTTATTTGCACAATCTCTTCTTTCTTCCCCAACAAAACAATGTACTCAGTAATGAGGAAAACTGCCTTAGACCAAAGATATCTTCATTATCTACAAACCTGTGAAAATACCAGTGTGTTGGGACACTGTAAATGTGATCCATGTTGGAATTTGTGAACATACTCTGTTTATATGTATTGGCCAGAGTGACAATCAGGTATTATTCTCGATTAATATAAGATTTAAGCCCAGTTTGGTAAGCATGGAACTGCCTCTGTTTACAATGAAGATTGATTATGTGTAACTACCTGAAATTCTCCTTGATGTTGTGATCCAAACAGTCCCCCTCTAACAATTTTTTTATTACGTTAATCAGTTTGTTGGTACCTTGTCATTTAAATGGGCTCTTTAATTTTACCTAAAGATGAGCTTATTAACAGCACTCAAAAACTGTTATTTCCATGCACAGCAGAGGATCACAGCTGTTACCTTGACTATAATAAGGTTTTAGGGGGGCTTAAGAGCTTAAACTTACCTGAAACGTGTGCTTGGAAATGTTTTAAGTACTTGGACATTGCTAATATCAATAGCCAACAGTGAACTTTTAAAAAATGTATAAATATCCCAGTTTCCCACAAGTAATAAAATATTTATAACAATTATGAAAAGAATTGGATGCCTTTTTCATTTGCTATTTGCAGTGCTGTTGAAACAGACGCTTTTTAACAAGTCATAAATTCCATTCCCATGATGTGATGTTATCTGCCTCCATCTTGTAGGTGTTCCACCAGGTCCTGCCTATGGGAAGCTGAAAAATGGAATTTCTGTTGTTCTGGAAAATGGAGTTACAATTTCTCCCCAAGATGTCTTAAAGAAGCCTATTGTTGGGAGAAAAATCTGTATTTTGGGTGACTGTTCTGGGGTTGTGGATGACGGAGGAGTGAAGCTGTGCTTCGAGGCAGACCTGCTGGTCCACGAAGCGACCCTAGATGACACCCAGATGGACAAAGCCAAGGAGCACGGCCACAGCACGCCACAGATGGCAGCGGCGTTTGCAAAGCTGTGCCAGGCGAAGAGGCTGGTTCTGACTCACTTCAGTCAGAGGTACAAACCAGCTGCCTTGGCCAGAGAAGGAGAAGCAGATGCGATTGTAGAACTTAAAAAGCAAGCTGAATCAGTGTTAGACCTCCAAGAAGTGACTCTTGCAGAAGATTTCATGGTGATCAGCATTCCGATCAAGAAGTGAAACCAGTATTCCCGAATGCATTCTGATGTGTCTGTAAATATGTTATTGAACCAACAGTCACATTTGGTTTCTTTTTGTTGCTGTGGTGGTGGTGGTCATCATTGTTTTGATCTCCAATTATTTGAGTCCTCATAATCCTGAAAAGGATGGAGCTGCATTGCTGAACTAATTCAGCACTGAGAGGGAGCAAGCTATTTGATAATAAATCACTTTAAAAAGAATGAAGCCAGCATCCTTCTTAAAGTCCACGTTTGACAAAATGATAGGCTCTTCAGGTATGCACGCTCTGAGGCTGCTGCCTCAGAGATTAGCCAGTGCACCGTGGGCTTAGCTTGCATCCAGCTTTATTGCTGTTGTTGGCAAAGTATGCAGGACTTGGCCCTCCTGGCTGAAAAGGGTATTTTGGCAGTTTGTGTTGAATCTGTTCATGTTATTAACAAAAGAGAATAGTAATGAGATATTTGATATGCAGAATTGAAGCTGGCATGTTAAATCTTGAATTCTTTGCTAGAAGACTGAATGCAGGGTCAGGGTAGGTGTTTAGCCTTCAATCAGTATTTTATTAAACTTTCCAGTTTGCTCTAAACCCAGGGTTCTCAGAGGTGATACTGCTCCCTTGGATGGAATTCTGAAGTTGTGGGATGTTTCTTGTCAAAACTAGGAGGGGCTACTACCAACAGTCAGTCAGTACAAGCCAGGACGTTAGATCGTAGAGAATTTTGGTCAATCCTAAACCATGAAGAATTATTTCATCCCACAATGCATATTGCAGGTCTGTTGAAATACACATCAAGTTAAAACTTCTACTGTGAACATACTTTATAAAAATTCAATGACATAAGAGTTTGGGTGTTTTGGGGGCATGAACCACCAGTCTCCTTGCATGGCCCTGGAACAAACCTTTCTCTGCTCAAAAAGAAAAACAAGAAATAGTAACATAATGAGTTGAACTATGTGGTAAGTCAAATTCTGCAACAGATCCTAAAAAAAAAAAAAAATATATATATATATATATATTTCAATATATTCAGCTAAGTGAATATATTGGAATGTCACCTCAAACATTATTTGTCAGAAATGAGCTGTGGGCTGGAGCTTGTGAATCTGGAGGTTAAAAAATAACTATCTGTCTGACTTGGGTTTAATTTACGTGTTCTGATAAATAATTCTTTGAGCACCATTTTAGTAAAATGTTCTTTCTAGAATAGCTTTTCCTGCTGAGTTGCCTTCCACCTCCCTTCTGTCTGTCACAGGGTATCTCTGACTCATTTGCCCACAGTAAATACATGGAAAGGTAGTCTCAAGTACTGATTCAGTCAAAAAGTTTCCCTCATCAGACTGGTTTGGGAAACCCTGTATACTGTGTGTCCCTCTGGCAGAGCTGTAATGCCCATCAATGTATTAACAAGAGCACGGCTTCAGTGATCACCAGCTAGTCTGTGATGCCAAAAAGACGTGATTTCAGAGTCCCATTCTGTACCTCATGACGGTCCCTATATGCTCTGAAGCAGGTTCCTTAGATCTGCTGATCTTTAGCTTGCTCATATCTAAAAATGAGAAAAATAATAATAAGACCTACCTCTAGGAGTGCTGTAAAGATTAAATAAAGACAGTGTATAAAAGGAGCATAGCACGTTGCTTCAAGGCATGAAGTCCTAAAGTACAGAGGTTTGTTAACTGAACCCCTTTCTAAAGTCATATTTCACCATATACTATCTGTTAACATCTTAAGAAGCTAGAGAGTTTTATAGTATACTTATTCAGAAATATTGTCATGGTGTATAGTAGACTATTGGATTCCTCTGGTCCTGGGGGTTTTTCTAGTAAAAATTGACTCCTGGAGGGGTCTGGAATCCCTGAAGTAGTGATGGTCTAGTTACTCAAGATCTCAGTCATTCTGAAGCAGCCTCCAGAATGGGCTGATTCGGCCCTCCTGTAGGCTCCTGGCCTGCCAGAGTACCAAAGTGGACCAGAACTAAAGCGTATCTTGATTTCTGAACTCAAGTCAAACCATCATTTATTAACCTACTGTGTGCCGAATGGGCTTCCCCAGTGATTCAGCAGTGAAGAATCCGCCACAGGAGCTACGAATTCAATCCCTGGGGTTGGGAAGATCCCCTGGAGGAGGGCACAGCAACCCACTCCAGTATTCTTGCCTGGAGAATCCCATGGACAGAGGAGCCTGGCGGGCCACAGTCCACAGGGCCGCAAAGAGTCGGGCACGACTGAAGTGACTTAGCACACGTGCACTCGACGTGTGCCCAAACCTGTACGAGAGGGAATGGCTGGCACTAGTACCTCTAACGCCTGGAGCTCTGGTGTGTAAAGGTTGTAGTTTGGTCACCTCTGCATTCTCGGAAATACCCACCCATGCTATGCGCTCAGAAATGTATCAGATGAAATTGAATGAAACGAGATCACAAAATTGAAGGCCTAAAGTTTAGAACCTGTGCCTAGCTCATTTTACTGCTGGGTTTGTCCAAAAAAAGTAACTGCCTGATTGGTAGTATTCCATTTACTGTCTTGGGAGTAAATGAATATAAGACAAAATCTCAGGCTCACTGTCTCAGTGCTAGAGACTAATAGGAAAACCCAAAGTGAATGTGCAGTTCTTTCAGATCTTTCAGATCTTACAGCCCATCACTCAGTTTTGCTGTTCCTGAGCATTATTTGATAGATGGCTTGACTGTGCCCTTAGAATCAGGCTCTTTTCATATATGTGGGCTAAGCCCTCAGAGACATGGGAATGTGGAACAAATTGATGTGTTGGATTAAGTGTGGGGTATCAGTTCATGGCAAGAATTCTTTCTTGGACTCTCTTCTGGCCTAGAATTTGTTCTTAATGGTAGGACACATTCTAAGAATTTGTGGAGCTAGAATTGAGTGAATTTTTTATTTTTTTCCTGTTAGGCTGGGCCATGCAGCTTGAGGGATCTTAGTTCCCCACTCAGGGATTGAGCCAGAGCCGTGGCAGTGAAAATGCCAAGTCCTAACCACTGGCCTGCTAGGGAGTTCCCAAGAGTGAACCTTAAGTTGAACTTCTCAGAGCCTGTAATTTGTTCATGGTTATATGACTCTAGAGGGGATTAGAGTATGTGTTGTGCCCCAGACTTATTTGATCACTGAATTCTCTTTTGCCAAGGAGCATCTTATAACACTGAGAAATGGTGTTCCTCAATACTACTGAAAGTACTAATAGTCACCAACTATGTCCATCACCGACTCGATGGACATGAGTTCAAGCAGGCTCTGGGAGTTGGTGATGGACAGGGAAGCCTGGCGTGCTGCAGTCCATGGGGTTGCAAAGAGTCGGACACAACTGAGCGACTGAACTGAATACTATTGAAAAGCATTTTATTTATATTTGTTACCTGCAACTTTATTGAGGTAGTAAATTCCATGTCTACACCAAATATAGTATTTTTTGTCTTAACCAACTTTCCAATTGTTAGAAATTCATGCTCCTGCTTATTTAGATAAAAAACAGGCACTTTTCTGTTTCTCAAAAGGTATTTAGACTTGCCCAAATAGACCCCAAATCATCTCTGTTTTCAAATACTCATGCTTCTTTAGTATACTTTTAATAAACTTTTAAACATAAAAGCAGCATAGTGATTTTTTTTTTTTTTAGAGATTCAAGAAAAGAAGATGACTACTCAATTCTGCTGGGGGCTTCCCAGGTGGTGCAGTTGGCAGGAGATGCAAGAGATGTAGGTTCGATCCCTGGATCAGGAAGATCCCCTGGAGAAGGAAGTGGCAACCCACTCCAGTCTTCTTGCCTGGAGAATCCCATGGACAGAAGAGCCTGGCGGGCTACAGTCCACGGGGTCGCAGAGGGTCAGACACAACTGAGCGACTGAGCGCACACACTTACAGTTCCACCAATCCAGAGAGCTGCTGCTTTGTTCCAGTGATCCTGAAACTGAGATGTGAGTCAGCATAACTCAAGGTGTTACACAGGTGGACAGGTGTGCATAGGTAGACACAGGTCCTTGGGTTCTAATTCCAAAGACTAATTCAGTATGTCTGGGGTGGAACCCAAGAATCTGTATTTTTAATAAACCCCCCTAGGTGACTCTGAAGTATGTGAGTGGTAGGCTACATGTGGAGAAAAAACTGTATTTATGCACTTAGAAAAACTGAGGTGTACATAAATATATTTTATGTAATTTAAACATGCTTATAGATGTATGTATATTACACACACACATATTTTTACATGTAGGTTGACCTCAACTGTTTTTCTTATTTAACATGAGCATTTTCCCACAGCATTAACTGTTCTTTGAGAGCATGAATTTAATGATTTTATATTATCCCATTCTATATGTTTTCATACTTTTGAGGCATTTGAGGTTGTTTTGCATTGTTATAAATAATACTGTCATGAATATTCTGAGGCATAAATCTTTGTATCTCTGAGTATTTCCTTAGCATTGATTTCTCTGGAGGTCAAAACATCTAACTTACTTTTCTGGACTCCGGTCAAGAATCTCTCACTTGTTTTCTCGCTCACACTGTGCAGCTGCAGGAGAGAGGCCTGTTGTGCTGCTCCATTGATAGATGATATTGAATATCTTCAATTAATGACCTTTCTAACACTTCTCTTCCCAGACATTTGTCTTATAAAGATTATTTTTGCCTGCTAGTGAAAACAATTTTATTATGTCTTGCAACTAGCACGTATAATTCAACTGTGATTTCCTTGAATATTCTTATGCCACCTTAAAAATGCAATTCTTACTTAAAAGGTAAAAATCCTTACTGCTTCAAATATGCTCATGATAGATGTACAGTGAAGGTATTTTTGTCTTCACTAAGTTATATATTATGGTGAAATATATTGATCCTGTCCTCACTGATTGATGGATTTTTTTAGGTACTGAATGAGTCAGAGTATTGGTTTTGTTTTTTTTTTTCCCATGGGAAAAATAAAAAGGAAATGCTGGTGATGCTCACTCTTTGGCAGGACAAGGATAGAATTTGAGGGGGCTGTGGTG